TGATTAAAATGAGATCGAAGGATCAGATTATAGTTAAACTTCAAACTAATAAACTATCATGGTATAATTATATCCACTTAGATAGTTGGACAAATGAATGGTTGAAGACTAATGGCAAATGTAGAGAATGTATGAACAATTTCTATCATCACATGAAGGCATGCAGAAAGATGATTTGAGGAAGGGAGTAGTAAGTAGAATTTATAACCTATTTTTGGAACAAGAGGAAAAAGAGACAGAAATGGAAGGTTTGAAATTAATTTGAGAACATGATTTAAAAACAGAAATTAAAACAGAGGACTGGAAAAAATTTGGAAGATGAGAGTTTTAAGATTAATGTCGGTAAGAATAAAGGAAAAAAATTAAAATTAGTTTATGGTGGTACATGACTCTGGTGAAATTGAACATAATACATTCAGACTACTCTAAAGGTCTGTTGGAAATGTGATGAAGAAATTGGCTCTTATTATCATATGTGGTGGGAGTGTAAATTGATTCAGAAATTTTGGAAATTGATTTTTAAGGAAATATGCGATATATTTGGAAAAGATATTGAACTTAATTCTAAAATTGCTTTGCTTTCAATTTTTGATAGGATAGAACTTCTAGATATAGAACTTTGCACTTATCCCTGTTAAATTTCATTCTGTTATTTTCAACCCAGTGCTCAAGCCTATCAAGTTCTTTTTGAATAATAACAGCTGTCCTCCTTCCTTTCCCTCCCCCTACACTAACAAGGCACTAGTGCTGGCTTCTGATCTTCCTCATACCTTAATTTGCAGTAACCAAGAGAGAGACCAGAGCAGGCTAGGTTGACACGCCAGCCTGGATCTGAACATAAATCATAGACAGCTTATCTGATTTTTCACCATAGACGCCAGGATTTGACCTGGAACCTTCTCAATGAAAGGCATAGAGTCTACCAGTCATCCATGACACTTTTCAGTTGACTTCATTTCAGTAATAAGGAGCGCTTAATCTGATGCTCAATGCAGTATTCAAATGGGCATGGCATAGCTTAAGAGAGGGGATGGTGGCAGCAATTTCCACAGTGACAGAGAATAGGGAACTCTAGGCTAGAAACAGCATAGCTTGTTCACCTCCCAGCACTTTTACAATAGAACTGACATTGCTTATGCAATCCTGGCATTCATTTAGCCGCACCCAAGGCTTCCCAAACAGGATAAGGAGCCAGGACAAATCTGGAGGCAAATAGATTATTTGATATTTACTAAAGATGAGCAAGTGATTGTGAGATGTTGTCCTTAAAAGGCTGAGAATGCTCTTCAGGGCAATGTCTGAGAATAGTGCTCTGGAGGGAATATGTGTGGGAAATATTTATTTCTGTTTATTGATTTGATTTATATACCACCACATTAGTACAAGAACTACTTTGTGCAGTTTACAGATTAAAATTTTAAATCCAACAAGACCCCACATGCATTCACAATTATCGTGATTCACAAATATAGATCTAAAATTCATCCAAAAAGAGAAAAGAAAGACCAAAAAAAGAAAAGAAAAATAATAATATTATCAGTATCTGGAATCATCAGTAGTTGAAGACAGCTTTAGATAATTCTGTTTTCACCAATTTCCTTAACATAAGGAGAGAAGGATCCTGGAGTATCTCAGTTGGTAACTTATTCCAGAGACTGGAGGGCCACCACTGAAAAGGCCCAATTCCTTCTTGTTGTCGTTTTGGTCTCCATTGGTGTAGCCACTTTTAGTAATATGATTTGAGAAGAACAAGTGAAACTGGTACCTCATTTCTGAGAGAGAAGTCCCAACAAGTATCAAGGTCCGAAACTGAAAAGGGTTTTATAGATCATAACCAGCACCTTGGATTGAGCATAGAAACTGATAGGAAACCAATGAATTGAATTTATTAATCCTAGAAATCAGTCTGGCCATTGCATTTTGGAACTGTTGAAATTTCTGTACTGTTTTCAAGGGCAGCCCTATGTAGAGAGCACTATAGTAGTCAGTTTTAGACATCAGCAATGCATGAACTACTGTTGGTAGGCATTTCTTATCCAGGTAGGGATGTAACCAGGCAATCAAGTGGAGTTGATAAAAAGCAGTCTTGGCCACAACAAATATTTGAGCTGCCATGCCAGATCCAGGAGTACTGCCAAGCTGCAGACCCAATACTTTGGGGAGGTGTAACCCCACAAAGATCCGATAAGTTTCCCTGTAACCAGTCTGAGTATCCTCCTGACAGTAGGATCTCCATTTTATCTGGATTCAGTTCCAGTTTATTGGCCCTTGTCTAGTCCATTATTAATGCTAGGCATCTCTCAAGAAAAAAAAA